ACGGGCAATGGGAACGACTTGAATGAAGTGGCTACATTGTGGCTACCAGGCGCGCTTGGCTTCTGTGAAGCTGATCGAGACTCGACGGGGCCGGTGTTCGAATCGGACCCGCCGCGCGCGCGGGGTGTGATTAATCGTTCGCGCGACTGTACGCACTGCCTTGCTGTCACGAGGCTCGCCGGAAATCGATGGAAGGCGGTGGAAAGGGTTCATGCGCTGCCCCCAGCTGCGCGGCGGGCCGATCGCACTCGGCGTTTGATTATTACTACTGTGGATCGCTGACGGAAAATGGAGCCATATGTCGCTTCCACCACCATTGGCCCCACCCTTTTCCCTGGTGTGGGAAATAGTTTTCACTGAAATTCGAAGGGTGAGACATCTGACCGATTTTCGGTGACACAGACCGAAAAACGGTCATACACTCTACCAAAAATGTCCTGTCGATGCCGTTAATTTATTACCAGTTTTCACTGTAGGTCAATTCACAGCGTTTACTGTGATCTGCTCACGGGATTCACTGTGATTTTGTTCACGGTGTTCACTGTGATCTGGTCCACAGTAAACACTGTGAGTTTGACGCCGCTGAGCACCGAAGTGCTGCAAATCAGGTTCCAACTCACGGCGTTTACTGTGGGCAGATCACAGTGAACACTGTAACCGAGATCACAGTGAACGCCGTGAACTAGTTCACAGCAAACGCCGTGAATTGCATAACAGCAAACATTGGTCATAAATTAGCGGCGTTGACAGGACATTTTTTGTAGAGTGTACACAAATGTATGACCGAAAAAGGGTCATACTTAAATGTATGACCAAAAAAAGGTCGCACATCAGCGAGACTGGCTATTGTTTAGCTTGAGGATGTATCAGCCTTTACCTGTGATACACTATAAAGTATGACCATTTTTCGGTCAGACATCGAAGTATGACCTTTTTACGGTCTTACATTTCAGTATGACCCTTTTTCGGTCATAGATTTCAGTAAGACCGTCATAGGGGTCAAAAGTCTGACCTTTCTATTTTCAGTGTTGAGTTTGTTTCCGTTTTGCTTGAGATAAGATTTTGTTCGTATCCCGCACAGCACTGACAGGCAGCCACGGTGATGCTGTGATGCATACCTCAGCACATTCCAGTAGAGGCCTGCGGCGGGCGGGTATCCAATACCCGTGAAGCCTATAACTTTGAAGTAAATGGACCGAAACGCACAGAAGTTTGAGAGGCGCTGATCCAATCATAAAACTATGTTCATGCGAAATATGGAATGTTTTTGACAGCAACCAACGAAGTTATAGGCTTCACGGGTACTGAATACCCGCCCGCTGCAGGGCCTCTTCATTCCAGTGTAACCCTAATCGACACCTTGTTTTGCACAGGTCCCCCGGCCGGCCGCGGCCTCGCCCGGTTGGCCGCTTGCATCACTCTGAAACCGGGGCCCAAATGAATGGCCAGTTCGGTCCGGCGACGGCAGGATGCGGCAGGTGCCAAGTGGGCCCTGGGCCGCCCTGGTCCGCCCTGGTCCGCCCTGGGCCGCTCTGAGAGTCGTTTTCGTCGCTCTATCTCTCTCGCACCTCTACGGAGCGCCCCATGAGTGCGAGAGAGACAGAGCGACGAAAACGACTCTCGGAATCAGTCTGCTGGTCCGGTGCGGTCACGGTCCCGCCGGCCCTTCCTCGGCCCTACCGCACTCCGTGGACGCAGCTGCCCAGTGTGCTGCCCAGTGTGCTGCCCACCGCCACGCCGTCCAGGGCCTGGCCCTCGGCCTGGCCGCCGGGCCCGCTTGACGGGCAGGTGTGTGCCCCGCACTCAACAGGTCGTGTCGGGTGCGGCCACGGTGCGGGCCCATAGCCGATGATGATGACGTGATGACCCCGGTTGCAGGCTGCGAACCGGTAGTCCTCTCCGAGCCTCCCACAGTGGGCCAGAAGACCGGTGGAGGCGGTCAAAATCCCAATCGCGTTTTGAGCTCCAGAGTCGCTAAATGGGACTCGAATCGAACATGTGACCCCACCAATGGATTACTCTCCGAACGAGGAATCCATTGGTGGGGTCACACGTTCGATTCGAGTCCTGCTTAGCGACTCTGGAGCTCAAAACGCGTCTAGAGTTTTGGCCGCCTCCACCAGTCCTGGCCCACTGTGCCTCTCTAGTCCTCTCCCACCCAGCCGAGCGATTCAAAAGACTCGTTTCGTCGCTGTCTCTGTCGCACCCATGCGGCTTTCCATAACGGTGCGAGAGACAGAGCTCTACTGAACCGCTCGACTGCAGCCGCCTCGAGCCGCCGAGAGAGTGCGAGAGAAACAGAGCGATGAGAGAGTGCGAGAGAAACAGAGCGATGAGAGCGGTGCTCGGTATCAGGCTGCTGTCGCACAGTGGGCCAGAAGACCGGTGGAGGCGGCCAAAATTCTAGACGCTTTTTGAGCTCCAGAGTCGCTAAATGGGACTCGAACCGAACGTGTGACCCCACCAATGGATTGCTCTTTGGACGAGGAATCCTTTGGTGGGGTCACACGTTCGGTTCTAGACCTATTTCACGACTGTGGAGCTCAAAACGCGTCTTGAGTGTTGGCCGCCTCCACCGGTCTTCTGGCCCACTGTGTGTCGGAGGATCGAGGAATGGCAGGGCGAGGGCGTCGCAGCCAGCATGCAGGAAGGCGTCCCCACCTCCCCACCCCCCCACCCCCGACCTTTGCGAGGGACGGGGCACGGCCTCAATTTGCGGGCCGCATGCGGTTACGGTCCCGCTGGACCCCCGGCCCTACCGCACTCCTGGGCGCGCCCAGTGTCTGCACCATCGGGACGGTCCGGGTCCCCGGCCGGCCGGCCGGGCCCAAATGCTGCTGGGTGTCGCGATCAACACTGGGTGCGGCCACGGACGGGCCCAATGCCGTCCAGTGACTGATACCCTTGCGGCTGCGAAAGGATCACCCTTTGGGGCCAGTACCTGGACGGCAAATCTCGCGGGGGCGCGGCGACAAAGGCCGCACCAGGCTTGCTCCCGCGGGGGGGGGGCCCTTCGGCCTCGTATCGTTCCAGGTCGGGACGGCGATGTTTGGCCGCCTGCCCGCCCCGGGCCACTGTGCCTTTAGTCCTCTCCCACAGCCAAGGCGTTTCAAGAGGACTGGTCGGTCGTGAATGGGTTAGCTTTTAATCGAAGAAAATACGGAACCGTGGCCCGTGAGGACGGGGGGGAAGCAGGGGAGGGCGGACTCGGTATAAGCTCGGCGGGTGCTGTCACAGTCCAAAGAAGACGGGGGGCTCCCAAAACTGGGTTTTGGTGCAGAGTGGCAATATGGGCCGCCAAAGGTAAAGGATTCTGCTCTTTGTACGAGGTATGTCTTTGGTTGGGCAATGCAAGCTAGCCATTTACGGGGAAAGCGGCAAAGGTCATTTGGGTCTAGCTCTCCAGTTTGGGGAGGATCGAGAGGCCAGAGCGCCCGGCGACAGCCCCCGGGCCACCCGCACAACGCGGCAACACGATGGGTTGCCTACCCACTGGCCGGCGGGCGCTCACTGCATCGCCCCTTGCGAGGATTGTGCGCCCAGTGCACAGAGCGTGCAGTCATATCGAGACACGTCCAAGATTTTTTCTGGTTTCGGCTCTCTATGTTATGGAAAGTGTTAAGGTGCGTGTGGTTTCCCTCCTCAAACTTACTGGATTCAGTTTTTTTTATGTGTCCTCTTTTGGACCGCACAAGAGAGAGGTTGCCCATGTGCGAGACTAGTGTTCTGCCAGTAGTCGAAGCGTCTGCTGTCTCGTGCGAATAACTATTGACAACAAATATGGACATCATGGACATTGAAAACAGTGGGAACTCGCCTATTACGAGTGCCAAGTCGGGAAAGTTAAGACAAGGTGGTAAAGTCTGTTGCGTTTCCCATTGTGGAAACAAATCCGCTCTGAGAACAACATCACTTCACCAGGTGCCTCTTGACGGCCGGCTGAGGAAGCTTTGGCTCGACGCATGCAAAATAGACGATCCAAGAAGGATATTTTGCAAGTATCTTTTTGTGTGTGGAGAGCACTTCTCTGCCACAGACTTCAGTAAGTTTATTTCTTTAGTCGGATAAAATTGATCGGCCCCTCCTGTGTTTTGCTCTGCTCATAACCTGACTTGTGGCAGGTGGGACTCCTACTAAAAGGAGATTGAAGAAAGTCGCAGTACCCAGCAAGAATTTGCATATCGAACCCGAACAGCGTGTTAAAGATGTTTGCAGGAAAAACTGCATTGTTTGTGGACGATTGTGAGTGGTGTATTGCATGGCATGACTGTTATGTTTGTTTACAATCTCATACACATCAGCAGTCTTCTTTGTATTGTTTCAGCCTTTCGAGTCCCAGAGCTCCTCTCAAAACCACTAGCAACATATGTCACGATCATTGTGTCAAAAACTTGCGAAGTGTCAGGAAGAAAGGCAATTTACAGCCCCCACAAGGTTTGTTTCGTTTGCATCATTTATCAGTTTTCTGAGTCCTGCTGTTATGTCTTTATACAATTTGCATCTTTCTTTCAGAAGCGGAGCCTGTTGAGAATGTAGCCCCTGAATGTGAGACTGTGCGTGATAATAAGGAACCTTCAGAAGCGGAGCCTGTTGATAATGTAGTCCTCGATTGTGACACTGTGCGTGATAATAAGGAGCTTTCAGAAGCACAACCTGTTGAGAATGTAGTCATGCCTGATAATGAGAAGCTCTCAAAAGCCTTGGCCTTGTGGGACTCAGTCAATAGATATGTGGTAAATCGTCTGAAGGAGAAGCCTGAACTCTTCGCACCTGCTGTGTTGAAATTTTGTAAAGGGTTTGAAAGTGCTAAAAATATTTCAGAAAGTTTGCTGCTTTCATCTTTGAGCAACTTCAACAAGACTTACAGTTATAAAAATAAGAGATACATCATTGTGAAAAAAGACGAACTGCCCAAATTGAAGGTGGCTTTTGGAGGCAAAAAGCGCGTGCCTCGCTTTCTCAACCGTCCAAGAGCGACTTTACAGCAGAGCATGGATGTTTGCAAAAGGCCCCAGGCCGATTAGGTACCTGACTCTGCCCTGCAACTCTGTTCTATAGTCAAAGTATATAGTTATCTCAGTTAAATTGTGATTGGTTGTTGTAATATTTTTCTATAATCTTCTGAAGTCAGTAGATGGGGAGGGGGATAAGAAATCTCGATGTGCACAGTCTGGAGTCTTCACAGGAAGTGTGATACTTTTCTTTCTGAGTTTGTTGAAAAATAAACAAAAGGGCCACTTCCTGTTTAGACTCCAGACTGTTCCCATCATGATTCCTTTTCCTCCTTCTCATCTACTCACATCAGAAGATAATAGAAAAATACTAGAACATTGGTTGAGCAGTGACCATTAAGAGATAGTTTTGTGATTTTAGACTGCATTAATTCCACGACATAGTAAGATTTACATCTGTAGTGCGAAAGAAATTGTGATCAGAAAATCATTTATTGAGAAGTTTTGTACTTATCTTAAAGTATAATTTACCAAAAATGTGAGCCTTTTCACAAAAATTCCTTGTGTTATACTTGAATAAAGTTGCATTTATTCTTTCACACAACGTTGAGCATTGAGCAACAGAGGGCTTAGAGTAGGCATTTTTTTATTACACCACCTGAAACAGATTGCGCAGATAGTATAGATGTATGGTAGAGAATGCAAGCTTTATTGGTAAAATGTTTAATACAAATAAAATGCCACAAGATATATAAAAAAAGAAAAAATCCGCCTGTAATTAATAAATTAAAAAAGAAATCAGTGATGAGATAATCTCCATCATGATGACAAAATGGGAATGTCAACTGTGGCATGTATGCTTCTCCACAAACACTCATTCTTATGTCTTGTATGATCTTTGAGACACACCCAAAGAACACGAATGCTGACCATGATGTCATGTGATGTCAAGTCATTTAAACTAATTTGAGAGTGATTTGTGACTGCTCTCTTAACACTTCACACTGTCCACAATGCAATACAGTCCTGTACTCCCCACAGCTGTTGGGAGTCCAGTCCAGGACTGTACTTTCCACTCACGTTCGTACCATTTTGCCATATTGCGTCACCTCGGCCTGCGAATAACGTTATGGAAGATTGTGTGTATAGTGGAAGTTTGGTTTTCAGTGGTTTGTTTTGGCGGCGTCTGCTTTCTCACTTTGCCGTTTTTCTCTCTTAAAGCAACAAATTTTGGTCCAAAATGAATGCACCGCCGACATTTGAATCATTTCTTTTGTTTGAGGGTGAAAAGAAGTTAGTTAAAACCAATTCTTTAAGAACGAGCAGTTCTGACAGAGCACATAACCAACCGAATGTTCAACTTTTTCTAATGGAATAACTATTTTGCAGGATTGTCAAGGAACTGGATCAAAAGGTACCAAATGCTGCTATTTTCACTGTCAACAAAGAAGACCACACACTAGGAAACATGATTAGGCAGTAAGTAAGATGGCTGGGCTAGAGGGCACACCATGTTATGTAAAATTGGTTGGCTAGTCTTGACAAATTCTGTCAATATGTTTGTTTGAAATTTTTACTACAAAAGGCTATTCTACTACTTGGTATAGAGGTAGTCAAGAAGTACACACTTCTGTCCCCTGGCCTTCGGGGGGGACGGAACTTACACTTAAGCTGCCCTTTTCTGCCCCTCCACAGGCAATGGGACGGAAGTTGTGCATTTCTTCTCTTCCGTTTTCCAAGCACCAGAATAGCCAATTGCTTTTCTCTCCTCACTTTATTTTGTGTTTCTCCTTTTTTGCAGTCAACTTCTTAAGGACCCAAATGTATTATTTGCTGGTTACAAGCAGCCTCATCCCCTCGAACATAAGTTCGTCTTGCGTATTCAGACTACCTCAGACTACACCCCTCAAGACGCCTTGACCCATGCTATCACTGACTTACTAGCTGAGCTCTCCCTCTTTGAAGAAAGATTTAAGGTAAGTTTCTGCCATGTGTGCTTATTTTTCAAAATAGAAGAGAGATTGTAAAATTTAATTCTCTGTTTTCTTTTTAAGGACGCCATCAAGGAGAAGAGAGAAGGCTTGGATTAGTCAAAACACTCTCCTACTTTTTAAAAAAAATTTGAAATTTTTCTTTCATTCTAAATGCTGTACATTTCAAAATTTTATTGCCTCTAAAGTAATTAAGGATTTAATACTTAATAATGTAGCTCTAAGTTTCAAATAAATTTCTGGAAAATCATGTATTTACTTGAGCTCCAAAGTCCTTCACAGACATCTATGTTAAAGAAACGTTGGCTAATTGGGAATGCTATCCATATTTCCAGGCCCAATGTCCTGAAAGGATTTGGTTAGATGTTGGTAATTTGTTGTCTACCATATTTGAGTGCCAAATGATTTACACATTAATTTTGTTTCCAAAGGTACAGATTATTAAATTTTTCTGCCGTAATATATAGTCATGTGTGTTCTGTGCAACATTTGGCACTCAAGTCTATCCATTGTCCATGTACACATTGTTTATGGCACATTCTACTTGGCGTGAAAATGATTTATCCTGTAATATATTGTAAATTCATTGGGCAGTATAAAAACAGGTGTCTTGGTGGCTCAGAGTTCAGCGGCCGTCTTTGGAAGCGAGCCATTGGTACAGCTCCCAAAGCATGTCGACATTTTTTTTCGGTTTACTTCTCTTAAATTATTTTTTTAAGTGGCTGCGTGCAAAAGGACCAAATGAACCTGGATTTGTGGATTCGACTCCCAGGCATGACAATTCTCTTGACTTGTTTTGCACGTCTTCCCTATGGTGTGCCGAAGGGGTGGTCTATCTTCCCAGCGCTGTCCAACAATAGAGATAAAGAATTAAGAAGGAAATAGTGGCCACGAGAGAGGCAAGCCCGGGTGGTTGGCTGAGATGTCGGCTGGCGGGGGGAAGTCCTGGGCCTGACTCCCTCGTGAGTGAATATTTTCCTCAGTCCACTTCTCAAACCTGGTACCATCATTCTAAGATTGATCACACAGATAAGCAGTGGCCGGGTGGCTGAGGTGGTAGAGCTGTCGGCTGACTGGAGGCAGTCCTGGGTTCGAGTCCCAGGTGAGTGAATCTTTTCCTCAGTTTACTTCTCAAACCCGGTATCATCACTCTAAGATAGGACGAGTCGATCTTCAGTGGCTGGGTGGCTGAGATGGTTGAGGTGTCGGCTGGCAGGAGGAGGCCCGGGTTCAACACCCAGGTGAGTGAATCTTTTCCTCAGTTTACTTCTCAAACCCGGTACCATCACTCTAAGATAGGACGTGGCACAGATAGGTGTGCTGTCGTAGCTCAGGTGGCAGAGCGATGGGCCGTGGAGGCCATGCGGCAGCACAATTCCCGTTGGACCTGGTTCGCTACCAGCCAGGTCAGGTTACTAACCCTTTATGATTGCCCCTACTCCCCTCTCCTTCTGGGAGGGGGGGTAGGGGGGGTGGGAGCCGACGGCGGGAACTCTTTTGCATCCTAGAGGTAAAGCTAGCCCTTTACAGAGCAGCGCCACCAAGGTAGGCCACCCATCTGGCACGCGTGGGTGCTTCCCCTCCCCTCATACGCGGGCAGAGCCGCGCCGACAGGGTAGGCCACACATTTGACACGCTGGGGGTAGGCGCGAGGGAGCGTTTGCTCAAACACCGACGCCGGCAAGGTGGGCCACCCATTTGACACGCTGCTGCAGGGGCAGCGGTGCAGTAGCAAAATATAAGCCGGAATTTGAACCCAAGTGCTCCCACCCATCAGCCGGAACCTCTCTCTAGGTGCAAAAGAGTTCCCGCCGTCGGCTCCCCCCACCCCCCTCTCCCCGAAGGAGAGTGGAGTAGAGGCTCGGGTTCGAGTCCCGGGAGCTCGAATCTTTTCCTGAGTTTAGTGCCCAAGTCTCGCTGCTGCGAAAGCAGCGCTGCGGCGAAAAATATAAGCCATACCCCGCCGGGGTTTAAAACCAATAACATCTACCCACGTCCGACACCCACCAATGGTCTAAATGTCTGTGTGCCACGTCGCGGGTGGTTGTTCTTTTCCTTATCCCTTCTGAGGCACAACGCCCGGAAGGTAGACCCCCGTTTTGACACGTCACAGGGAGACGTGTCTATTATTCTTATACGTAGAATAGAGACTATACATACGTACGCGTCGATTACCTATTATAGCCAGGATTGTCTCGCCACAGCCTCAAGGTGTGCCACTTGTCCCCACAAACAGTAATGCGAGTCTTCCCACGGTAAGTTCCTGAGTTTTTAGAATTTTTCTTACGTTTGGTAATGTGTTTATTCACTTTGAAGCATACCAAAGAGTAACATTTGTACAACCTCATAACTATAATTACAGCCTTAAAATTATTATAATAAATACAGAATGATGTAAATAACAAACCTAAAGGTACTTCACATTGATTTCATTCTGTACATCACAGTAAACAGACCAAATAATCAAGACAGTCATTGCATTCAGGTAAAAGGTGGCATTGAAGTGTATAATTTAGGTGACATTTGTAGGAAATACAAATAATCTACAGTGATTTAAGCTTTCTTTTTCGATGCCTGTTGCACTCTTTGCTTTCTTTGCATTTTTCTTACAGCTGCTTTATTTACAGGTTTAGTGCTCTTACCCTTACTGCCTTGTTTCTTGAAAGCCGTCTTTTGCTTGCGGTTGTCCTTCTTCATACGAGGATCAACCACCTTGTATGGTCCTTCAACACCCTTTGGCCTTCTTATCTGTTTCTTTGCTCCACTCTTCTTAGCAATTACGTAAGTCACTTCCTTCTTCTTCTCCTTGTTCTTCCGATACAGCCTAAAACAAAATTACATGATAAGGATTATTTGAAATGCAAACAAGTTTCATCACTAGAAGAAGAAGAAGAAAAAGAAAAAGAAGAATCATTTCAATAACACTCACGTCTTGATTTGTTTAGATTTCTCCTTATCTGACATATCAACATTGTCCATGATATTTTCCAGCTTCTTCTTTGCCTTCTCCAATTTCCTGACAGCACGTCTCTTCTTCCTGGCTTTAGCTTCAATCACCTTCTTGATGGGTCGAATGTTGATTTCCTCCATTTTTCTCTTGTACTCATCAATCAGCTCCTAAACAACAAGAAAGAGGAAACAAAGAATGAGTATCATTAAGGTACAACCAGTAAAGAAGGAGTTCAGAAATCATAAATACCTGTGGTACAGGTGTTGCCTTCTTCATGTGCTTCTTCTCATCTTCAGCAAACCAATCTGGGAGATTATCATCATTGAAAACCCATTTATTCCAACCAGAATCGACAATATCCCTCTTAGTTTTGGCAGAGGAAACCATTAATGCACCTAGAGCCAGTCCCTCCTCATCCAACTTAACTTTTTTGGTCTTTTTGTCTCCTGAAAATCAATTAAGTTTATCAGAATACTTTAAACAAAAAGAAACAAGACCTTCAAGCATTAGTGATCAAAGCGTACCTTGGGGCACAACTTCAAAACCATTCTCTTCGGATTTTTTAGCTTTCTTCTCAGCTTTGCTGAGTTTATTGCCAACTGCCTCTTGAACATTATAATCGCTATTCATTGAATCATCTGAGTCATCAGAGTAATTATCCATTGAATCAGTTCTACTTCTTTTAAAAGCTGCATCCTCTCCAACAATGCGTCCTCCTTTTCTCTTGTATTCGGCAGCAAGCTGATCTAATTCAAAATCTTCATCACCCTCACTCATAAGTCCTTTAAATGTGTCCTAGAACATGATAGAGTAATTTGTGAACACTTTGTAAAACACAATCTCATAAACAACTTTTTCATCAATTTTCAAGTTACCTTTTCAAACCACAGGTTTGCTTTCATAGTCCTTTTATCTTTTTTTGGCCTAGGATCAAGATCTGTAATGAGAGGATTTAAAGTACCCGAATCACCAGGCTTTGCTGCTTTTTCAGTATCACCCTTATCGCCCTCATCTGCAAATGTGACAGCTTTCTTTTTCTTTGTTTTCTTTTCATCTGTTTTTTTAATGGTTTTTTTTGGACCATCATCATCACTATCATTGAACCCTGAAAATGCAAAACATAGTTTCATGATGATAATGCAAAGACATATTTGAAGTTATTAACAGATTGAACAGAGTAATTTACCTAAACCATCCTGCATATATTTCTCGTCATCTTCCTCCTCACTAGACGCTTCAGGGTCACTGTCATCACTATCTTTGTAAAATCTATTAAAAAACGAAAAACAATTATGAAATCTTAGAAACCATTGATTTTGATCTCACCAATTATTGAACTGAGATAAGAAAACTTACAGTCCTGACTTATCTAAGCGAGTCTTTTCTTTATCGTATCTTTCGAACTTAGGTTTTGGAGTATCATCGTCAGATTCTTCTGATTCCACCATTACTTCAGGAGCCTGTTCACTCATGGCATTCAACTCCTGCAACAGGTAAAAGTGTCTTTAAGTTATAAAGAGTGCTACAAACAGCTGAACTCCAACACAAGCCCACTAAGCTCAAACACAAACCCACCACAACGTTATTGATGGTACGCAGATTAAAACCCTCAGCTTCTTCAATGACAGGACCAAGGTCACCTTTCAAAACCATTTTCAAATTCATTTTTTCTTGAAGTTTAGCTCGCTCCTTGTTAGTTTTCTTCCGTTTCCTTTTAACCTCAGCTTTTTCTTCTTCCTGAAAGTTAAATTCGTTATAGGGCACTTTCGAACAAATGTTAAGCAAAATGCAGATAAACCACCAGACAACTTACTGTTAAAGCATCAATCTTTTTATCAACTTCTTCCATCTCTAACTCCTCCTCATCAATAAGAGATATCTTCTCATCATCCGATTCCTCTTTCCCTTCAGCTTCTCCTTCAGTATCATGTTCTTTTTTTACATCAACTTTACCAATTAGGTCTGCCCTAACAGTCTTCCACCAAGTCAAAAGTCCACGGATATCTTTGCGACCCAAAACTTTAATATCTTTACAACATTCTCGGATTTCTGGTGTTGTTGCAGGATGCTGGCTTACTTCGTCATCCTCAAATACAATCTAAAACAAAAACGGACATGGATGAGATCCATTTAGGTGAGGTTCAGACCCACAGTTTCTATCCAAAGTACCTCAGCAAGTCCAGCGAGAGCCTCAACGGCAACAGTGTGCTGAATGAACTCTTTTGCAGTAATAGTACTGTGTTGCAGGAAATCCCCTTCTCGGTACCCAACAGCAGGAGCCTTCTTCACTTTCTCAGGATGCACTACGTCAACAGTTCTTGATTTGGGCTCCAACTCCAACTCTTCAAACACATACTTAGGGTCAAGGAAGCGAGGGTCAAGGCGAGTTGGTGCTATGTACCCTTGACACACAACGAACAACTCAGCTGATTCAGCACGGGAAGCTCGTGGTTTAGTTGCATGGACCTAGAGTCAAAGAAAATCTTATTTTAAGATCTGTTTGGACTTAGAAGGAAATAAAAAACAGGGAATATGATACATACTTTTTTAAACAACTGTTTCAAAACCCAAACAAGTGCATGATAATCTTTTGAGCGGAAAACTTTGGTCACAAACCATCCTCCACTTCGAAGGAATCTTGTTGCCAATTTAAGTGCACTGAGTGTCAGAGTTATCTGCGTATAGGCATCATGTAACCAGTTTTTACCTGTCAGAAAGAAATTGTATTGGAGTGAAGGCAGATACTTTTACAAAACCTGGAAAACACTGTGAAACACTGCTTACCAACATTAGGGGCACCATCATGCAAAACGACATCAGCCTTCCACGTTTGCAATTCTTTTTCTATTTGTTTGGCAGTTTCTTCTGTAGTAATATCACCAACAATTCCAATACAGCCTGGGATCTGTTTGATAGGGTATAAATCCACACCTGCAAAAAAGCAGGATGAAAACATCTCATGGATAAAGCAATATATAAAAATGATCCTGGACATTATAAACGTTTAGACTAAAATGATGATCATGAAGGCTTGCAATCGCTTACCAACAACGATGCTTGAGACAGGCATATTCTTCCTGGCGACTTGCATCCACCCTCCAGGAGCAGCACACAAGTCGACACATACTCGGGAGCTTTGAAGGAAACTAAACTTGCGATTCAGTTGAATAAGCTTGAAAGCGGCACGAGAACGATACCCTGAAAAGAGAGAAAGGAAGTTTTAGTAAGTCCACTGAAGAATCTGCTAACCTGTACGACCGAAAACAAGTAAAAGGGTGAAAGTATTGCCTTCACCTCAACAAATAATAGAAAAAAAACACTTTAAATAAAAAAATGAATGAAACCGATTTTTTAAAACGAGTTAAGATGATTTCAAGAAAATAAACGATCTTTAGGTGAGCATAAAGTAGGGTTAAGCACACTCCGTGCTACAATTGTTACTAACCTGTTTCCTTAGCTAGCTGGTAGAACTTATCTTTACGATGCTTTCCAATCTTCTTTTTGATAGTCATCGTTAAATCAGTAAAATCACACTTCTAAATTATTGAAACAAATTGTTTTCAGGTCCAGCATGAGACACACGTGTGGATGTGTTGTATTTTTCTCCGTCTCTTCTCTTCTCTCTCGCTCCCCAGGCTTATTAACTGCAAGTCTAAACAAATCAAAAACTTTGATCACTGCCTTTTTGGTTTCTCAGATGAAAGGCATTGAATTTATAAAATTAGTCGTTTAATTTTAACGACTTTGGTTTGGTTTGCACCAAAGCTATGTGCATTAAAGTACAAATTCATTTCATGGATAGTGCTGGAGGTTTTAGACAGTTGGCAAGAGCCGACTACAGCGACTCCCATGGTGAGCGGTGGCAGTCAGAAGCTCTGCAATGCAGACGACGCGAACTTCCCCGGCCCGGGTTCTCTGTTATGTGAATTTTTGAGGTGGTCACTTGGGGTGTTTGTTGACCCGAAGAAATCTACGATTGATCTGTGAAATTCAATTATGAACGTGTGCTCTGCCTTTTCTCCTCTTGAAGTGGTCAACAAGACGGCGACAATGGTAGGGGAGAAAAGGAGGAAAGGGGGAGCTGGAAGTGTTTGTTGGAACAGGAACTTGTATGGCTGTGTACCAAGTTAATAATGATTCTGAACCATCCTGACTGATTCTGACTCGTGAGTGTGATTTGATGGCACAGATACTTTATCGATACAGCGTCGGTATTGGTCAGAATTCTTAACTTGATACAGCTTATGGCATAAATTTTTGCAGCCACAAGCACACTATTCACTAGATATTTTTGTGTTGGAAACGATGAAGGAGATTAATAAGATAAAGCATCTATTTGTTCAATGCCTCTATTTGGAAGACATTTCGGTCTTATAATTTAAACAAGTAAAAATGTATTTTAAACTATGCAAGTTGCAAATATACAGATAAATACATAAACATTTCCATTCTGATTAGTGCACTTGGACTTCTCTTTACAAAGCAAACATTATTATACTATTTATGAATGTTTTGCAAACAATTTTTATTACAATACATCCTCACATTTGATTGATAACCTATACTTGAAATTTTTCAGGAGTTCTGAGTTTTCAATTTCATTTTTCATAGCATTGCAATGAACCTTTCAAAGCATCATTACCACTTTGGAGTTACATGCATCCATTTGATCTATTTAATGGTTCCTACTAGAACAGAAAGGATATGAGAGATACAAAAGTTGCACTGATTAAATAATCTGAATAACATTTACATTTAATTCAAAAATTGAGTTGCTTATTAAAATAATCACTTTTTGGCTTGAGGTACGAACATGTTCAACAAAACAAATTAAAAATAAAGTGTCACATTTCCTACCACATTGTTTATTACTAATCATGTTTATTCAAAAGTAAATTTAGTTACATAGGCACTTTTTGACTAAAAGCATGAGCTCTGAGCAGTCTGTTGAAGATTTGCAGTCTCAGAGCAGATTCTATAAACGCACAAGCTGCAGTGTCTCAAGAGGAATGACTGCATTAATCCACTATAAATTTTACCTTTACAATGCTAAATTTCTTGTTTCTACCTTCCTTCTCAAAATACATGAAGTTAGTAATTAATTGGAAGGAAGAGCCTGTACATAAGGTACAAAAGTTACACTGATATGATGAGCTCATCAAAATGTTGTGTAGTGTGAAATATTATTAACTACTGCAAAAAGTAAGCAAGATGGTTCCATACATGCTGTGGTAAAAAAAAGAAGAAGTGAAGGTCCCATTAGATAGCACAAGAACTTTGGGAAAAGGCTGATCACCCCGTGCTCTTCTGAATGTATCAAAGGCATGTAAAACCAACAAATTACATAGAGAAATGAAGATGCCTTGATTGCATTTGTATTGGGAGAAATGATCATTCTCTGTGTGACAAGAAAAATCATCCCTTCTCATATTGTGAACTTTTAAAACAACAAAAGACGTATGCATTAACATTCCTGACTAGGTAAAACAAATGCACACAAAATTTGACTTGAGCAGACAAGCATAAGTTAAAACAAACTTTGAAACAATTTTTTTGTATCAAATATATTTTGGAAGTTAAGGAAAATGGAACCTATGGACCATCACATCACAGTATTTTTGTGGTTGATTTGGTTGAGAGTAGTCACCTTAGCACATGATCAGAATTATTATAAAGGTCATTCAATTAAAAATATACAAGTTGGTTATAACCACCAAATATCTGAAGGAGAAGAAAAAAAAACAAACAAAAGATACTAACAGGACAATATGGCACAAAACTGATATTAAATATGATAAAAAGCATTTGTGCTTTTAAACAATGTGCCCCAGACATTAAGACAGTCAATTTCAAAAACAAAATGAGTATTTTCTTTTAAAATGTAATTTAGGGGCTTAAGCAATCAAATTACACGCCTATATGGTAACACAACTAAAGTAGATTTGGAACACAGCCAAAGCAAACATTCATTGCACCAGAAAATTAGTAACTATCTGTGAGATCCTGCAACTGGAGGCATCTCTGTGTCAAAAGAGGTTCAAACCATCACATCAATTCTGTTTGTGAAACAAATCTTTATGCAGACCCAAGTTGAATCCATCCTTTTGGAGAGTTCAAATGTTGGATGTACATATGGACATGTTTTTAAGGTTTGCCCGCTACTATACATAAACAATTTTTCCTCCGAGACAAGAGAGAAGTAAACAGATTTTCTGAATGAGCATAACTGTCCAAAAGACAAAATTATGCATAAATAAATAACACATCAATGCCATCTAGCACAAAGCCTCACAGTTCAAAATGTGAATCATGACCAGACATTCCCAAAAATATATCCGGACAGGATCTGTAAGCCAAGACAATAATGTAACCACACTTTTAGACACTTGGTAATCTTAGCCACCACTAGCTCTTATGACAATGAGCCTTAACATCTATTCACAAATGAACCTATAGCAGGTAAACAAATATTTTTAATTCAATTCTCAACAAAGGAAAAAAAATCACACAACAGGTTGAATGTACCCAAAGTGCACTATGCACTTTGTGAAACATTTTTCACTGCAGTGAAAAATGGCAATACTGGTAAGTCTACCTATGTATGTACAGTAAAAGTCAAGACAACAAATAATAAAATACTAATGATGCTTCATTGACATTATTAACAGAATTTATTATAAATTCTGAGCATATTGGTTCATAAACACCTATCTGTACATTAATGAAATAAAAATCTTAATCTTGATCTCTTTTGCACTTTTGGCTGTATCACTACCCACTATCAGGCACACACACGTTGCTTGTGCTCAGAGAGTCCAACAAACTTACGCGCATGCTATCACAAAATCGCACATTTTTAAGAAGTCATTTGGTGCTCATCTTGTTCCAAAATTAATTTGCAATGCATTGGTCAGTCGGAAAGCCGATTGGTCAACTTTGAGTTGGAGGTATGGATACCAACATATGAACCCAACCGATAGTTCGCTCAAACAGTGTTTGAGATGGTCAGGGCCGATGAAACCTTAGAAAGGGGGCAGAATACAAAGTTAGAGGTCTGTTATAGTAAATTAAGCAAATTATTAGAGAGTGTATGCATGCGTGTGGCCCTCTATTGAAGTTTTACCTGGTAAGATGACGACTATCATCATGAACATCCATTTCAGAACTCTTGAATTCATTAAGTTCTTTCCTAATTGCTGCCTTGTCTTTAGGGGTAAGTCTAGTCCAAGGCTTGTCTGCTCTCCGATCATAATCGTGTGCTTGAGTAACTTCAATGTAATCATTGAATCGGATAATCTATGAAAATGAAAGATGAGAAATAATTCACCATTATTTATTGTTTTATGATGATTGCTATGGTCTAAATTGTTAGTCATCCTTTAATAACACAAAAAAATAGGAGATCAAACTGACCTTTTTCTCTTTCAGCTCCTCTACAGTCGGACGGAAACTGAGTTTCCTCAGCAACATTCTTTTCTTCTCTTCTTTAAGTTTTCTTTCTTCTGCTGTAGAGTTTTCTGAAATGATATAAAAGGGTTCCATGAATACAAGATTTTGTGCAGAAGTGTTTAAAACTGTGATAATACTGAGTCCAAGCAAACAACTTACTCTTTAATATATTTCTTTCTTCCAGCTCCTCTTGAGTTGGTCGCATACTCAGTCGTCTGTGTAAAGGAATAAAAATATTATTTGTCTGCAATGGTGGCAATGTAAAGGGGTAGAAGGACAATTAAAGTCACAATACCTTATGAGGCGAGCTCCTACTGCTTCTTTACTTTCTTGCCTTTCTTTATCACTCTGTACTTGCAATATGTTCCTATCTATTAGCTCTTGGCGGTCAGGGCGAAGAGCTAACTTGATTGCTAAACTGTCTTTACGAGCAATTTTAGCCGCAAGGCGATCTGAAATTACAGCACACACTTTCAGTATTATGTATTGAGGAGGGCAAACAAAAAGATATAAAATGACAAAAACCACAGTGTCAAAAGTATAAATTACTGTAAACCAAGCCACTTGCTCACAGGGGTAACTTTGGCCCAGCAGTTACAAATGACACCAATGTAATAAGTACCGCATGAAACAAATTGCTAGCCCAAGGGCCGAAGATACCCCCGTGGGCTAGAGTGGCCCCGGTTTACAGTATAACTAACTTACTATCACTATCTTCATCTTCGTCATCATCTCTGTACAAAATAGGTCCGTCGCCTGAGTCACTGTCATCATCTCTTGATGAGTTGTAGGGACGAGCATTTTCCTTGTTCTCCATTGTGCAGGGTAGAGAAATACCAAACCTCACTGGGCGGGTGCTGAAACATGCACACAAGATAGAATGAATCAACAATGATATATAAATAATGTGGTTCAAATAAGCTATGAATGAAGTTGAAAAACAGTAAGGAAAAAATTCAGACTCTAAATAATAAAAAGTTGACAAATCAGTGAATCAAGAATGTGCATCAAAATGCTGGATCCCAAAGCAGCAGACACGTTCATGCAATAGAGGCCCCACTCGTAAAACTTAAATAGCTGTGAATGATTGCACAACATTAATGTGATCATGAATGGTCCAAAAAGTGCTATTTGCTTCTAAAACAGTAACAATGTAGAATTATAAAACCCCCACTAAAGTACAGCTAAAGGCACAAAACAAAATGCAAGAGATACATTATCAACATATTATTATATTGGATAATTACCAAATCCTCACACGAGACCTCAAGGGAGGCCTTCTGGTAAGACAAGAACAGAAAGGATAGACATGAGTTAGAGTTTTGTTTCAGTCCCATGCTTAAGAGTTATTGTTAAAATAGAAAATATGAAGAAGGAGCTCTATTTTTTAAACTAAATGTGCGCATCAAATAAATACTTACTTGAAAGATGCATTATGTTCTTGTCGAACACCAAGAGGTCTTGATTCTTGGGTTGGCGTTCCTGGTCCACTGCTTCCTCCTGCTCCATTGCCTTTCTTTTTCATTGCTGACTTCAGTGGAACAGCATGGAATTTTGGTTCTTTGGCAGGAATTTCTTCTACTCTTGATGTGTCGATGTTTGGATCAGGTTGTGATACCCTAAGATTGTGGAATTGATCATCTTCTTCATCATAGTCCTCATAGGTATCATCTTCATCTTGATCTGATAAACACACAAAAAATATTCCTTATTATCACAGAATACTCACATCCATCTGCTAGAAATTAGGAGACTCACAAGAGCTAAAATACATATAACCCTGGCATTTCTTTACAATAGCTGTTGTAGAAACAGACATTGGGGAAGTCGGTTAGTCAACCTAGCTCTCTTCTCTACCACTGGGACACTTGGCTAAGTGAGGTGTGGATACAGCTACAATGGGCACACAGCCAATGGCAGAGAAAGGTTGGCCCATGAGTACAGCGCTATGCAGGGGTGCGCAGAGAAGGGTTTTTATAAGAAGGGAGGACTTATTATTTCATGAATTCAAAAGTTTTCAGCCCTGCCAGGAAATATTATACAAAGGTTTATACATGCACCACTAACTTTTCAGTCTAGCACAATGGGTTGAATGGCGGCCAAAGAATTTGAGCAACAACCACTCCAATGTCAGCTTTTCGATGTTCAATTGCAAAATTATAAAAACAAAATAAAAATTGGTTATTTAAGTTAAAGAGGGTGTAAATTTACCTTGATATCCAAAGTTGGACAGGTCAAGCGGAACTGCATTATGAACACTGGTGCCGTTGTTGTTGCTCGCACTACTGCTGCTATCCACTCTTGTTGGTCCACCATGCAGTCTTAGTAACGTTGGACTTGGGGAACTAAACATGGGTGGAGGTGGAATAGGACCGATTTCGGACACAGGAATTGGTGGCTCAGGCAAATCCGATAGTGTCAAGACTCCACTACTATTGCTCTGTTGTGATGCAGCCAGCATTTGTTGCTGAGATTGCTGATGTTGCTGCTGTTGTTGCAATTGCTGCTGTTGATGAAGGTGCTGGAACTGTTGCTGCAGCTGCTGATGCAACTGTTGTTGCAAGGATTGTTGGAACTGTCGCTCATTTGGAGGCGGAGTTCCATCTCCTCCAGGAGGACCTTGATTCTGAATTGGTGGGTGATCACAGTTGTCGGGCACTGCAACAGACGTTAGAAATAAGTTAATGGCTTTACGAATTGGGATTTGAAAAATTACATTAAATGGAATAATACCAAATATAAAATTGAAACAAGACATTTTTATAAACATTGGAGAAAGCTGGACACTAAAAGTAAGCAATCAAGCGCAAAGCTGGGAATAAATGGATTGTAAACTTAAGACTACCGAAGATCAAATTGTTTCATAGTAAGAGAAATGATCAATGTAAAAAATAATTGAAAATTGACATTTGTCAGGAGATGTTTGCTATCACACCCAAAAAATGATGACAAAATATGTTATTGAAACAGATGGAAACTGGAAGCGAATCCTTATTGCTCTGACGGAGCCGAGCCTATCCTATCCAGTGCTAAAGCTCTTACCCGCGCTGCCAGCGCCGCTAGAGTGCATGCTGTGGGGCCGTGCCGGGGCTGCGGGAGGGGCGCCCGAGGGGGCGGGGCCCGTGGGGGAGGGGGTGGGGGGATGCTCACTGTGGTAGCACAGCAGTCGCCGGGTCAGCCTGCCGGGCCCGGGGCCTTGGCCGACGGCGCCTGGGCCGGCGAGGCCCGGCAGCGGCGTCCCGAGGGAGGACGGCCTCTCCGGCTTGGCGAGGTTGGCTGGGCCGGACGGGCCCGGGGATGCCGCCGCCCCCGCGGCCCCCGCCGCCCCCGCGTTCGTGCCGTCGCCGCCCCCACCATTGCTGGAGCCGTCGCTCGCACCGCCACAGGACCCATTGGAAGGCTCGGCCTTGTCCTTCTTCGGCTCTGTAACAGGAACAAGGAACAAGGGGCGATGTTAGTGGGGGGCGTCTCGAGACATGTCCACCACGCAGTGTGCGCCCCACATCCGGGGGAAGGTGCACTGGTGGAACTGGAGCGAGCTTTTACGCCTTCCTTCTAGCCTAGCGGTTGCCGCACTTGGAGCGTAGTTCTGCGTGCCACCCTTCGCCCCCTATCCAAATGCCAAGCTTCGCAGGGAGGGAGCTACACGGCAACCTGTCTCGCCTTGACGCCTCACGGTGGGCCAGAAGACCGGTGGAGGCGGCCAAAACTCTAGACGCGTTTTGAGCTCTAGAGTCGCTAACCAGGACTCGAACCGAACGCGTGACCCCATCAATGGATTCTTCTTTCGGAGAGCAATCCATTGGTGGGGTCACACGTTTGGTTCGAGTCCCATTTAGCGACTCTGGAGCTCAAAACGCGTTTAGAGTTTTGGCCACCTCCACCGGTCTTCTGGCCCACAGTGCGCCTGAGCGGCTTCACGGCTTGCCTAACGCCATCAACCTCTCCCGGCCTGTCTCCCTTCCCCAAGAACTGGCCGCGCCTTTACGGCCGGCCCCTGTCTGCCGGCTTGGGTGTGACGTCACACGTTGCGTTGTGACGTCAGGCCATCACGAGTTCGAGCAGCGTCAGGGCGTCAGCGCGTCAGCAGAGACGTTTGTTTGGCTGCGGTGGTCTGCGGAGAGCCTCTGCCGTGTGGTTTGACGCTGTCTCTCTTGCACCTACACGGATTGCTCCATGCGTGAGAGAGAGAGAGAGAGAGAGAGAGAGAGAGAGAGAGAGAGAGAGAGAGAGAGAGAGAGAGAGGAGAGAGAGAGAGTAGGGATGCAAAATTACCGGTAAGATTCAAAGTACGTAAATTGCGGTAAAATACGGTATTTTCCGTATTATACGGTTAAATTTTGGGAAATTGTTTTTTCTTGACTTAAAGGGGAATTGTGGTTCTCTTGTGAAATAAGCGAAAAGGGAGGTTCATTTGGGTAAGGGTGTATCATTAATTATCGGCCGCATCGTCCAAACATGGTTGCAACCATCATGACTCAAGGACAATGTCGCATTTGAAATAGACAAGGACGAAAGACCCGTGGTCAAAAATTGAACTATGTCTCTCCCACTAGAACCTCCTAATCAATTTGAATCTGACTGCTTCCTACTGGGCTGGATTAAGAATGCGTAGAGCGGCAAGTTAACAGCCCAAAAGTGTTAACAAAACGGGCGCCGTTTTCTCGTTATCAAAGTAAGTTGTCTCAATATATAAGAAACTTTTTCCTGAAGGCTCCGAATGTTCATTACATTTTCAGCTCAAATGTCAACAAATATCTACCCCTAGATTTACCTCTTTTCATTTTAAGTAGTTAAAATTATATAACCTTGGCAACAAAGAAAGGTTTTTGATTTGCCTTTCGGAGATTTGTCTCGTGTAAATGGATTTTGATTTCCACAAGTTTTGCAAAAGAAGAGAACATTAACTTCACGCTAATTTAAGTGGCTAGACGTTTACACGTACACGGGCGGCACAAGGGACAGATACAAACAAGAGTTCAAAAGAAGCTATTTTCAGTCGTACGCCGTGTATAATCGTATGGAGCTAAAGAAGTTCAAATAAGTCATAATCAAAATTACCGAAAAATACCAATTTTACGGGGTCTCCGTAAATACGGTGTTTTACCGATTATACCGTTCTTACCGGTAATATTACCGGCCTTTACATCCCTAAGAGAGAGAGAGAGAGAGAGAGAGAGACAGAGAGAGAGAGAGAGAGAGAGAGAGAGAGAGAGAGAGAGAGAGAGAGAGAGAGAGAGAGAGAGAGAGAGAGAGAGACGAAACGACCCCACTGATTGGCTCGGCACGGCATAAGGCCTGGGCCGGCAGAGCGCCCGTGCGATAGGCAACACAAAGGCAGCCGCGCGTCGCACCCCGGCGGCGGCCTACCCTCGCGGCGCTCTCCGGCCCCGGCAGCGCGTAGCTCTGCGCCGCACAGTGCACCAGAAGACCAGTGCCGGCAGCCAAAACTCTAGACGCGTTTTGAGCTCCAGAGTCGCTAAACAGGACTCGAACCGAGCGTGTGACCCCACCCCCACCAATGGATTCCTAATTCAGAGAGAAATCCACGGGTGGGGTCCCTTGGTTCGAGGTCCATTTAGCGACTCTGGAGCTCAAAACGCGTCTGGAGTTTTGGCCGCCAGCGCCGGTCTTCTGGCCCACTGTGTGCCACGCCACTGCACAGCGACACCGCTAGGCACCCCGTGACGCGTCGGAAGTCGGGGAGTCGGGGCAGCCGGCCCCGTCGCAGCACACTGATTCCGAGAGTCGTTTTCGTCGCTCTGTCTCTCTCGCACTCACGGGGCGTCCCATAAAAGTGCGAGAGAGACAGAGCGACGAAAACGACTCTCGGAGTCAGTCTGCACGCCATGCCGCCCACTCGACTCGCGGGCCACGCGCCGACAGCCCCGCGCTTCCGCGCTCCGCTGTTTTTATTTAAATTGGCGCGCGCCGGCGCCGGCCGACCGGCCAGCTGATTCAGAGGGGCCGTTTCGTCGCTCTGTCTCTCTCGCACCCACGCGGAGCGCCCCGTGAGTGCGACAGAGACAGAGCGACGAAACGACTCAGCGGAATGGCTAGGCGGGCACCGCGGTCGCGGTCCCCGCCGCACGCAGTGACGCGCAGTGACGCGGCGCGAGGGGCGAGGACTCGCGCGAGGATCTCCCGGCGCCCGCACGCTGCAGACTGATTCCGAGAGTCGTTTTCGTCGCTCTGTCTCGCTCGCACCTGTACGGGACGCGCCATGGGTGCGAGAGAGACAGACAGAGCGACGAAGACGACTCTCGGAATCAGTCTATGCTGATTCCGAACGGAGCTCTCGTCGCTATGTCTGCCTGCGGACCGCCCCGCCAGTGTGACAGAGACAGAGCGACCAAGCGATTCTTCCGAATCAAGCTTGCAGGTCGGCGTTACACTGCAAATGTTTTACGAGACTCTACATGCATACAGTATTATGGCGGAGATCACTCTACATGTCTTACGGCGAAAGGCTGCACCAACATATTATGGTGGAGATTTTCTCCATATTACAGAAGAAATTCGACAAAATATGTGTAAGGTACCATCAATTTTGAACTGTCAGTTACGAAGTCTGCTGCACCACCATAATATAGAGAATTTTCACCACAATATGGAGAAACTTCACCACAAGACTTTTTGAGTGATTTTCTCCACTCATAATGCAAAAGAAATTCGTGAAAATGCCTTTAAGATCCCAATAAATTTTCAGGAGTAAAAAACAAAGTTGGCAGCACCACTTATAAGCGGAGATTTTCAATGTAACATGCAGAATCTTCTCCATACGACTTTTACAGAGCAGCAGTCAGAGCGGGTCCATTCAAACGGCCGAACGGGGTGGCTGTCCTTGCGTCCCTGATTCCGAGAGTCGTTTTCGTCGCTCTGTCCCTCTCGCACTCATGGGGCGCGCCGCATCGGTGCGAGAGGGACAGAGCGACGAAAACGACTCTCAGCCTCCTGCCGACACTACACTGGCTGAAGTGGGCCGCGGATAAAAACGCGATAAAGTGTCGCGGGGAAGCATGCCAAGGCCGCGTCGCAGCGGCAAGGCCCGTGCAGCCAGCGAAGCAGCGAAGCCCGTGAGCGTGAGAGAGCCAATAACTCTGTTCCGAAAGCGTCGTCATTTGAGGGAGGAGGGGAGGGAGGGAGGGGGAAGGGGAAGGGAGGGGAAGGGAGGGGAGGGGGGAGGGAAGGGGAGGGAAGGGGAAGGGACGGGCGCACGGCTCCAAAACCGAATTGGGGGGGGGGGAGGAGAGGTCCACGCTGCACAGCAGACTGATCCCGAAGTCGTTTTCGTCTCTCTGTCTCTCTCGCACTCATGGGGTGTGCCCTATGAGTGCGAGAGGGGCAGAGCGACGAAAACGACTATCGGTCACTTGGAAAACAAAACAGCGCGCTGGGTGTATCACAGACAAAAAGTCGGTTGTAACCTAAACAGCGAGGAGGTTCACCCCCGACCAAACGCAAACAACAAAAACTAGAACAAACAAAGGCTTTGGAATGAGGTGGGGTTGGGGGGGGAAGCATTGTCGGCCAGTCCATCATGGTTTAACAGTTTATTTTGCGGAGGATCTCCGCGCAGCTGCGGCCATAAGGCGAGCAGTTCATAAACCACGTGACCCTGTGGGCCCCAAGTAGGCCCTGAGGCAGCAGCTGAGCCA